AAAGAGCCTTACACAACCCTGCAGTCCTCAACAAAGCCTTTAGTTTCTTAATTTTATGATTTTGCTTTCAACTGAGTACTAAAATTTCTCACCTAACTAGGTTCCTCATAATTCATTATTTGTTTAAATATATTTCAACTGGAGTGGAGTGACTGATTGTAACTTTTTTCCTTGTTACTTATAAACCAGACATTTGTTTGGATCTACTTCGGCAGTACCCAAACTTGTCTGTTACTACAGGCAACACGTTGCGGGAATCTCCTATTCTTAAATTGTCACGTCAACCTTCAATATTCTTTAGGGAATGTAGGCTTCGCTTTTGGCAAATATGGATTTATCACAGTGAGTACGAATTCCCTTCAATTTCATATTTTAATCTTTAAATTTTATTCTTTTTTGGCTATGTATATTGATTTAATTGATCCATTTGTGGAATATATATGTATTGAAGGGTTAAAGGTAAAGTTACCCGTAACCTCATTTGGTGAAGTACGAATTCTTGTTACTCACGATCAAGATCTCACAGAAAAGAACACCGGTATTCAAGGTAATTGTACGTATCCAAGTTAATTACACTAATTAGATAATGTAATATCATTTCAAGATACAAAATGTCTTCAAAGTTAGATGTACTTATAATAGGTATTGTGTTGTAAAATAGGTTCAAAGTTTCAAGCATAGGTAATCATCTAAAAAAATTAATTTTTTTGAATACCCAAGTCTAATGTATTTCAAAGGGATCAAGCTTTATTTGTGAGTATTGACTATAACTACAGTTGTAAGTTTTTTAGTATTTTAATATTTCAAAATTATATCAAATATATTTATAGTGATTCATTTATTATTTGTTTTTTCATTTTCAATACTTAAAATTTATCATATTTTTTAGATGAAAAAATAATTATCTTTAATAAATTAATAAAAAATAAATAAATTTCAATCATTGAAAATAGAGAAATAAATAATTAAAATTTTATATAAATATAATATGTAAATTTTTTATATAAACAAAATTGCTATTAAAATTCTTAAATAAATATCTATCCAACTTTAAAAAAATTATCAATAAATACTCAATGGGCTTGAAAAATATTTTCAATAAATACTAAATGGGCTTTTTTTAAAAATACCTAATAAAATATAATTCAAATCTAACATATATAATTAAATATTACAATTTAATCTTAATAAAATTTGATTCTTCTTAATTTATTTAAATTTTCTTATTATGGAATTTCACTCGACTTTTTATTAATATCTTTTCAATTATAAAGCATTAATGTTACAGTTTATATCTTATTATATAAATAGACAAACAAAAGCATAACGGAAAAAAAAATGTCCAACACCCTCACTTATTTGAAATATGTCCACTCGTTTCTTGATGGTAAAACTATATTATTGGTCCTCAACTTTCTAGATTTTTACACTTTAGTTTTTGATTTTCATAATTCTACAATTTGGTCTCAATTTCATCAGTTTATTCATCCTTTGACTTTATAAGACATTGTGATGTAGAGAGTATTTGGCAAAGCTTAAGCATTTGCTTAATTGAAAAGTAAATTCTTCTCTCATAAATTTTAAATTTTGTTGGAGGAAAATTCAAAATTTGACTTTTAAAGGTGCTTTTAAGCAAGTTTAGAAAAATGTTAGATGTGTAATTTTTTTAAAACTTACTTAAAAGTTACTTTAAAATCCAATTTTTGACTTTTTCTCCAACGAAAATTTCAAATTTTTGAGAGAAGAATTTGCTTTTTAATCAAACGTTTTTTAAGTTTTACAAAACATCCTCTAAATTTATGATTTTTAAAAGTTAAGTTCTATCCTATACAAATAATAGAAATAACATAAAATTGACTAAAATCATATTAAACTCATTTAAATATTAATAAAATCAAGACTAATTTGTATCATATTTTACATATACTATAAGGAAAGTTGGTAAATTTTGTATTGGTGTTTTATTAAGACTTTTATTGAGCTATTAATACTAGATTCTCCTATTGGAAAGAGAAAAATAAAATAAAATAAAAAGAGAATCAAAAGGAGGATTATGATGGCAATAGTTTAAGACAGGTTTTCAAGGAGTAGAAAGGGTACTTTGATCCTAGAGGTGCAAAAGGAAGTGGAAAAGAAAAGAGATGGACTAAAAATAATAATAATAATAATAATAATAATAATAATAATAATAATAATAATAATAATAATAATGAAAGATGGAGGAAAGTAAATGACAAAGTATTTAGAGGAAAATAATAATAAGCTACATCTATATATTATATTTTAACTTAAAACATTTTTAATATATACAAAATGAGAGAGAGAGAGAGAGAGAGAGAGAGAGAGAAATTAAGGTGAAAAGAGAAATAAATAATGATATATATCTAGAGAAGTAAAGAAAGATAAAAAGATCAACAGAAAGTGAGGATAAGGGGGAGAGAATAATAAAAATAAATTATTAATCTAGAGAGTGAGAGAGATACGGTGAATGTATGATAGAGAAATGATTATAATGATAAATTGATAAGTGAGAAATTGATAGATGGACTTACAAAAAAAATAATTGAAGAAATAGAGTAAAGATAATTGAAAAAATACTACGAGAATAATACTAAAAAATTATGCCTTTTTATGTTTTGAGATAAAATTTTCTAATAAAAATGTGTAAAAATAAAAATAAAAAGGTAGAAAAGAAGATGCACAATGACAAATTGAAATGCAAGAAATGTCTAAGAAATAATGATAAAAATTTGAGTACAATGAAAGAAGGAATAATATATAGGATAAAAAAATAAATATAATGATATAAAATGTTAAAGGAAAAACTGTGAGATGGAGTCTCAACTAAAATTAATGATAGATAGAACAAGTGACTAAAAAAGAATAATATAGAAGAAAAGATAAGGAAAGTTGTGCCTTTTATGTTTATAAAACATTTTAATATAGAGAATGGCAGAGAGAAAATATTTGTAGAAAAAAAAGGAAACCTTGTTCTAAAATTTGAAGATTCGCCATCTAATGGTTAATGTTATGTAGTATAGTATAGTCTAGATTATATAGTACTTTTCTAAAAAAAAAAAAAAAAAAAGATATATAATGGTATATTGAGATCATTTGAGGAATGACTAAGATAGAACACTAGAGAGGGAATGATGAAGGGAAAAGGAATAATAAAAAATAAACTAATAATCTATAAAGGTAAAGAAAAGACAAATGTAGGGTAGAGATAAATAGTATGATCAAATGTATCTAAGGAATGACTAAGAACGATAGAGAGTGAATGATGAAAGGAAAAGGAATAATAAAAAATAAACTTATAATCGATAGAGGTAAAGAAAAGGCAAATATAGGGTAGAAATAAATAAAATAATAAAACGTTAAGTAAGAAGTTGACAGATGAAATTGTAGGAAAAATTAAAAATGAGGGAAGTTGGGTAAGGATAAGGGAAAAAGAACTAGGGAATAGTGTGTAGAAGTTGTGTTACATATGTTTTGTCTATACTTCTAATGTAAACAATGAGAGAGAGAGAGGGGAAATAGGGTAGAAAAGAAATATAAAATGATAAATGGAGATGTAGGGAGTGACTAAGAAAAAGTAAAATAGAAAGAAAGATAAAGGAGATGAAAGAATAATAATAAATAAATTATTAATATAGAGAGGGAAGAAGAAGGGAATGTACAATAGAAAAAACTTTAATGATAGAATGTGAAAAGGGCTAAGAGATAGAGTTCCAAGAAAAATAACGAGAGGAGTGCAATAAAGACAATTTAAAAGGTATTAAATGAATAATGTTAAGAAGTTGGGTCTTTTATTTTTTAACATGTAACTTTTTTAATAAAAATATGTTAAAATAAAAAAAGTTAAAAATATAAGATATTTAATAAAAAAACTAAGATACATTAAATATCTAAGAAAAAATAATAGAAATGGGAGTATAGAAGAATAATATATATCTAAGAAATAAAAGAAATGATATAAAATATGAGGGGAAATTGAGAGATGGAGGCTCAATAAAAATTAATGAGAGGTTGACTAAAGGTAAGTAAATAATTAAATATTAAGAGAACATGACTATATTTTGACTGAAAATATTTTTAATATATATAAAGAGAAAGGGAGACAAATCAGGTTAAAAGGGATATATATGCAACAAATGATTAAGAAAGAACAACAGGGATGGAAGGCTTAGAGAGAAAGAATAATAAAAAATAAATTACTAATATAGAGATGGATTTAAGAAGATAATATGAGAGAATAAAAATGAAATGGTTACAAAAAAAAAAATAGAAGCGCAAAATAATATAAAAAAATATCAATTTAAGAAAGAGGAATTAAGGGAGATAAATGCATTAAGTTAAGCTTGAATTAAAATGCATAATAATAAGATAAGTGCAGCATGATACTGAAACAAACTAGAGAATTGAAGGTGCTTCAAAGAAAAATATGGAGAGAGATGTACGGTCTTAATTTAAGAAATTGAGAAAAATATAATATGTGAAAGGATAGGGATAAGAGGTAAGGAGAAGGTGGTAAAGGAGAGAGAGAATCGCATCAAATAGTTTTTTTTTTTGTCTTAAAATAATTGTAATTTTTTTACTTTTTCTTCAAATTAAAAATTTGAGAACAATTCATGTATTTACTTATTACTCTGGGGAAAAA